TGTTTAGAAACGGATAAGTAACAAAATGGGGAATGCTACTGGTGAATATATTTATATGAAAGATGCCCTACGTAGGGAAAGTGGATCGGGAACAATCTATCCCTGTGAATTGAATAAAGGGTTTGCTGAGAAATTCTAAGGAGGGTATCAAGTACGGAAATAGAAGCCGGAGGTTACAACGACTGAATAGTTGTGAATATAACAACCAAGATGGATATGCTGCTCCAAATCGTGAAGTATGCAATAATAGATGATGTTTCTCTCTTTGAATGCCGAATAATTCCTTATAAGAAAATGGCTAATATAACCCCCCCATATATATATAATTAATACAAATATATTTTTCAATTACCTGATTGTTGTTATCTTTAGTATCCCGATTCTAGACATACCTTCCAGCAATCACACCATCCACTCGTCAGGGGATATGAGCAATTACCTGTTCATTATTTCGTTTTTCTTTGAAATATGCATGCATTTTCATTAGTGCAAGGTTGTTTTTTCCCTTTCATTGTGTGTGTCCGTGCGTCTGTCTGCGTTTGTTTTTTTTGTTTTTTTTTATGCATATCACCCCAAGCAAGGCGTCTGCAAGGGATTACAGAGAGTGAAAGTAAGAGAAAATAATGTTGTTTGAGGAAAGGATGAATAGAAGAACGGTGATCAAGATCAAGGCATCAGAAGATGTCGATTGTCATTAAATTTGAATATTTGAAGATTATAGTCATCAGGGAATCAAGTAAGAGGAAGGGAGTTCCACTGTCGAGAAGAGTGAGAGAAGAAGCTTTTGAAGTAGTAGAGGCAATTACATTTAACTGTTTCGACCGTAAAATGGTGGCACCAAGATGCCAAACATTGTTTCATATTTTTATATACATATTATTATTTTTATTATTATTGCTTAAATGATAAGGGAAATATTTATATATGTCTACACTTGCCCAATTTTTCGTTTTTCTCATTTGATTTGCTGGTAACAAGTATTATTACAGGAGATTATATATATATATATATATATATATATAGAGACAGACAGAGAAGGATTAGTAACCAATTCAATGGACACCAAAATTTGGTATCAATATATATATATATATATATATATATATATATATATATATATATATATATATATATATTGAGAAAGCATGCATACTCCTACATACGCACAATCATAATTACTACTGTACGTGTAGACATGTTTCCTTTGAAAAATGAAAACCTGAATATATACAAAACGTATCCAGTGAATATATAACACTCTTTGCATCTAAATAGAACATCCACAGAAAATATAATACTAATGGTGAAATTAGACTTTTCCATATAGAAAGTATTGAACATTCAATGACCTAGCATTTAGTACTGCTGTCGGTAGAAATTTCTAAAATGTTTCTTTAAACAGTTTTTTTCACATATTTGTTATAGCTCTATCTATATTATCTACTATAAATAGAACTTTCCTTGCTATTTTTTTTCTTTTTTAGCGAGTGTTGATATAGTGATTATATCTTTATATTCTCTTCTAGTTACATGTGCAACCTGTTTTTATTGTTGCTCGCATTGGCTGTTTTAAAGTAATATTGGTTTTGTGATAGGGTTTGAAAAATTGCCTTCTTTAAGGATTGTAGGATTTCTTTGAATTGTATCAATTTTATTAATTACATCTCCTTACAACTGACTCCCTAACTGTAATTTTATTATAGAAGATACACCAAAATATTCATCACAGAAATTCCAATTTGTGGACATTTAGTCATATTTGGGGAATTGGGTCTGTCCGTGAGAACTTCATTAGTACCCATGTATTCACTATTTAGCCAAAATTAAGACCATTTTCCTAATAAATTGCTGTTAATAAACGAACCCCAAAATCACTCGTTTCCTGATCAGGTGTCGACAATGCAAGACCGCTTTAACTGCTGTAAGTTACATGCTAAATAATCTGCAGAATGTTTTGATCCAATACATTCCTTCAATGATCAACGGGATTGAAACCTGGGAAGACAACGCAGGAATTTTTTTTCACCTTGAAATCAATCCTGTACAGTTTGTGCAGCGTGGCAGGACGAATTTTCCAGTGCAATATTGTATTTTTGCGCGTAAGCGAATGTAACTGGGATCCATTTTCTCATTTCGAGACTCTATCAATTACGCCACCTGCACATATAAGTTTACTTTACATTTATGCACTTGATTGCTACATCCTATTCGCTACGGCAAAGAAAACATCCTGACTTGTTAAAAAGCGTAACGTTAGATTAAAGTGAACGATTTAAAAAAAAATAGCTTTATCAATTACCGGTAAAGTGTTTAATTTTCAGGCAATATTTTACGTTTTTAAAATTTTGACAAAAAAAATAATTCTCAAATAATTTAACAGTTGTGGCAGACAAATTAAAACTCTCACGATATATGGTGTTTATAAATCTGGGACTATAGTACTTAAAATAAAGCGTCATTTAAACCTAAAAAGCTTATGCTTCTCCCAGCCCAGCACAGCTAAACTTTGATATTTCTTTTGGAGGAAGGTGTTTAATTAATTTTCATGTGACATTTCAGGACGTTTTTACTGCTTCTGTGAAGTAATTATCTGTGGGGTCGACAAGTAAGTATTTTCGGAAATGTCAGTTTTAGAACTTCTTTTAATGAAAAGGTATTATGTTCGCGTAAACGTTTCCACAGAAAAATATTTGCACACATCTACCGTATTTTTCGCTGTATACGGCGAAATTCCTTACAAGATGTGAACACAAAATCAGCTTGCGCCCTATAAAGCGTGCGTATAAATAATATTGGCTTGGTGCATAATTATCAGGCGTTTTTAAACAATATTTATTATGAAAAAAAGGAACATAACAATAATATTTTTAAATGATTATTCCAGAGCCTATGATTATCGACACGCATTTTTATAACCTGTAAATAAAATAATATATTTTATTAACAAAAAGTAAACAAAACAGTAATTTTTATTGACAAATAACTCGCCTACAAAACGCCTGATAATTATGCACCAACCTAATATACGATATAAACAAGCTATATTTAAATCTAACCTCCAGGGAAGTGACCCGTTGTGCCTTCTTGGGCTAACATTCTCGGTTGACATGAAGTGAAAAGAATATATTGAATCCATTGCTAAGTCTGCTGCTAAGAAAGTTGCTTTACTGCGTCGTGCTAGACAATTCTTTTCTCTAGAACAAGGGTCGGCAACCTGCGGGCCGGATTCGGCCCGCGAAGACATTTTGACCGGCCCGCGAGCCTGATTACCAATGTCTATTGTTAACATGAGAGAAGACTTTCAAATGAAATTTGTTATATGTCATCTTCCATAGAATGTCTACACATCTCAGTGCACTAAAAATATTAGACTATCTGCCAGTTATCTTTCATGAGACTTATTCTACCAAGTTGCGTTGCCTACATTTAATGTCAAATAATGGATACATATTTGTTAGGACCCTTGGCTAAATTAAAAGATAACAGAAGCGAAAGGAACGATAAAATGGAAGAGGCCAGGGAGGGACTGACATGCGAGGTAGCAGAAATATAAAGACAGTTAAACATGTCGCGCGTTATACATACATGGCTTATGAATGTGTGGATGATACCGCATGTGTACGTACGTAAGTGTATATGTTTGCAACTATTTGTACTCGTATGTATGGGTATGTGTGCTTCGTTTTTGTTTGATGTGCGTGTGTGGTTCGTTTGTGGAACAATTTTCAATAACAGTTTCAAACCTACACGTCATAATTTCATCCATTTTCACTTCGGTTGATTTTTTTCACTTTGAAGTATTTTGACGTTCCTTGAGGAAAAGTAATTTTTGTTAGGTGTTTTTTTAATTTTAGATTTTCTTTTGTTTTTTCTGATTTCTTAATGTTTATTTTCATTATGGTTTTAAATATTTAGGTTGACAGGGGTCTGCATATGTAATTTTCCTTAATTTTTCATTAATGGCCTTCGTCCAGCCCGCGAGCCGTCATTATAACACGATCCGGCCCGCGGGGTCGAATGAGTTGCCGACCCCTGCTCTAGAATCTATCTTGCACATCTACACCCTTGTACGAATTAATTCAAACAATCGCTTTAGTTTCCTTTTCTTTTCTTTTTTTTTCACAATACGATCAGTTTTAGTAGCCTGGTGCCCCTGTTATTTACCTTGAGCTCATTCATAAAAACCCAAAATGAATCAGCAATATTATCAGTCCTGATCTGGTGGCTCGGCTTCAGTCACTTTCCTATCGCCGTAAGGTTGCCTCTCTGTCTTTTTTTTTTTTATATAAATGCTTTCATGGTATTTTTTCGGATAATTTCTTCGGTATAGTACATAGCCATTTTGAATTTAAGCGCAATACTAGACTGACGTCAAGATCTCACCGATTTGAGCTGACTAGATGTAGCCGCAATTTCTATGATAACAGTTTCTTTTCTCGCAATTATCGCTTGTGGAACTACCTTCTGCCTCCATGTTTTTCAGCCAACTTTAATGTGCAAAAATTTAAAAGCAATGTCAATCGCTATCTACTGTCCTCCAGATTACTATCTTTTCTTTCCGCTCATCATTAATGTTTCTGTTCCTAAATCTTTCACACTCTGTAACCCTTGTGTCCTAGTGGCTTTACTGCCTTGCATGGGGTAAATCTGATTAAAATAAATAAATAAAATGCATAGTTTACATTATTTGAGTATATTATTTACAACAATACTACATATTTAATACAAGCAATGCGCTTGAACAATGCATTTAACTGTAATATAAATAATTACTTTCTTGAATGATTCATTTTCTACGGCTTATCAACCCTTTGCAGGTTATTTAAAGCCAGTAAATATTTTTACATTGAAAGAGACAATAAGGGTTTAGTGATAAAACTCTTATTAATTAACCCACTGCTTTCCCAGGCGGTATTTTCGTGTAAGTGAATATAACGACCCCACTTGAAATTGTAACTTGGCTCTCCGATTAACAATTCTGAGCCATTATTCATTACACTGCCAGCACCTGGTACTCTTCAGCGGTCACCCATCTAGGTACTAACCAGAATGGGCGTTGCTTAACTTCGGTGGTCATACGGGAAGCGGTGTTTTAACGTGATGCAGCCGTAACCCATATAAATTATTTGAAGCCATTATATTAAAAAAGAACCAGAAAAATAGTCCTTAACTACATCAATCGTGATGTATTCTCCGCATTCGAGAATATATATATATATATATATATATATATATATATATTATATATATTATAAAATAGGAGCCTGAGAACAGCCATGCCTAAAAGGTATAAATACGAAAAAGTATTCAATACAAAAATCCCAAAAAGAAAATGCAGAGCAAAATTATTTACAATAACATTGAAAGACACGGTCTCCTCGGGCAAGTAGAAGTATGAACAATCTATTATATTCCACTAGAATATACTAGATTGTTCCTCCTGGTATTTGGCTGAGGAGACCATGTGATCGAAACTCTGGTAGTAAGGTAGACTGCTTTTTAGTGTTTTCATATATATGTGTGTGTGTGTGTGTGTGTGTGTGTATATATATATATATATATATATATATATATATATATATATATATATACCAACAACTTGTGCAACATTTGCAGTATCACAGTCAGTCAACCTTGAAAATAGCTAATTGATTTGCTGAAAGCGTTGGGAAAGAAAAATGGATAAATACTGCTCTCACAAGTTTAAAAAAAAAGAAATCTCTTCTTCAAAAACAAGACACAATGAAATGAATTTAACAGAAGTATTCTGTCAGTCTTTTTTTTTTTTTTTTTAATGAAATATGTATTTTAGAAGGTTCGCTTCCCAAATACACAATGATTGCTTATACTGGAGTAATCAGAGATCATTTTGATATGAAGGGCAGCCTTAATTTATTACTATAAATTAGCAATGGAAGTTTGAAGAAACGATGGAATAATAAGAAGAAAGGCAAAAGTAAATACAACGTACCAAATCTAAAAAAGATGATATGATAAAACACTTCATGGCCAATACACTGCCCACAGTAAACAATTTGATGTAGACATACCCCCATGAGTTGTTAAGTAGTGCAAGATTAAAAACTGAAACTGTAGGTTCTATATTTGCTGCACACGACTAATGCTTGCCAAGTAGAAACTATCAAGTAAGCATAAAAAGAATTGCATTAATCACTAATCTGGCTTCACTGGTGAATGTCCAGAAACAATCTTGTATCAGTTTGTGCGGAAATTTCATCCATTGAATATAAAACTCAGCATGAAAGGGTAAGCCAATACCTGCACTGAAAAGTCAGGCAACTATTATGGAACGGTCGCTGCCAAAAATGTTTAGTACGAACACTACACAGAGCCGTTTACAGACATAAGACCTGCTAACGTTATGAAACTTTATAATAAACACAGAAAGAACAATCAAAGCTAACCGCCCAGGCACAGCGATCAAAGATCACAAGAAATAGTTTTTTTATTTCCATTGCAGTAACTGTAAAGTGTCACGTGGCTTTGAAGATATTAAAGAAAAAAAACTATCGAAAGTCAAGGACACTGAAGTGGAATTTTCAAGAATGTGGCAGATGGCGCTATCAGTAATTCCAATTATATTTAGGGCCATGGGTTTGTTTGCAAATGGTCCAGATAGATTCCTTGAAGTGATACCTGGCGATCCATGATGAAAATACAAAAACTTGTTCCCACAAACACTTTTCACACCTTGCGAAGACCTTTATCTAGTTAAATGTGTATTTTTTATTGCAGAAATTGTCAGAGGAAATGTCATTGTGCTATTGTTGACATTACGTCTCTGGATGGAAGCCGGGAATGAATAAATAAGAAAAAAAATATTATAATGATAATAATAATGATGATGTTGCAGCGCCAGTCGTCAAAAGCATAATTGAAAACGTTTGAGATACTAGGCACATAGAATGACCTCGACGTAGAAATCAGTAGAAAATGGCCGCATCTCAAGACAATACCTGTTGTGGATTTGTGAATGTCATCAAAAGGTACTACCAAATACGTTGTAGCAGTAAAATATATGAATTGCAAAAAGAGCATAGTCACGGACACTTTCACGTTTTTTTTCTAGTTGAATGTCATTTTATCTGTTTGCATCTTCTGACACAAACAAAAACAAAACAAAAAAAAACAAACTTGTAGTCCCTGGCTGAGACTTCGGGGCACAAAACAGAGGAGGGGGAATCAACAACAATAATTCTTATTATAATTTTGCTAGTCTATTTGTCCCTTCGTTAGAGCGTAAGCTACGCCCTGCCAATACCTAATCAATAATGGACTATTCCGTTTTGATCACGTGGAAAGACAGGCATATCACAGACGTTTTTTGGTCTCTGTGAGAAAAAGAAAGAGAAAAAAGACAGCGGAGACGATAACACTCTTATGTGTTTAAAGTCTGCTTCAGTGAAATGGAAAAAACTTGTCAATGCAATTTTTTTTCATTTATACCCTTTAAATAATTATACGTATTCATATTTAACTGTTATTACAATATTTTTTTAAGTTATTAAGTTAGTGTTGTCGATTCCTGGTTGAAATCCGGTACCAATAAATAACTAACGCTAGGAATGAATATATGAAAATAATGTATTAACGTAATAATACAAACTGTTAAAGCAGGTTAGTAGTTCCAGGAATACAGGTTAGTAGCAAAATATATATACAGTCTTTGGTATTGAAGTATCGCTGTATGACTTCTTACTGAGTCTACGTGCTCGCTCACTGTGACTCCTACAACGCTGTTACCTCACCGTCACTCTTCCGGTTACCTACAACCTTTTACTCTGTCACTCTGGACTCGACTCGACTCTTCGGTCTTGCTCGGTATTTATCGACCCACCCACGAGGATTGAATATGGCACAAGGCCGGTTTAATGTGGGTATCTCCGAGCCCGTAGGCACGGCCAAAAATATAGATTTTGAACCCGCCTAGACGGGTTCAGGCTCTGTCTACCTCCCCGGACGAAACCTTGCCCTTCGGCAAAGCTTCGTCCGGGTTCCTCTCTGCTAACGTAGAGAGTTCTACAGACTTCGCTTACAGTCAAAGACTGTATCACGACAGCTAGACTCGGAGGTCTGGCTCGCTATTTATCAAACCACCCACAAGGATTGAATATGGCACAAGGCCGGTTTAGTGTGGGTATCCCCGAGCCCGTAGGCTCGGCCAAATATATCGCCTTTTTGAAACCGTATTGACGGATTCAGGCCCTGTCTACCTCACCGAACGAAACCTTGCCCTTCGGCAAAGCTTCGTCCGGGTTCCTCTCTGCTAATACAGAGAGTTTGACAGTCGTCGCTTACAGTCAAAGACTGTATCACGACAGCTAGACTCTTCGGTCTGGCTCTCTCGGGTCTTCACGTAGCCGTAGTATATGTGTATACTGGGTGAGTCCATTTGTGTAAAAAGGGGGGGGATCCCTCAACAGTTAGAATATTTAACGATGTGGAATTTCCACGGGCAATCCATAGTCGTAGAACACTCACCATTTGGAATTATGATCCATCAGAAAATTCATATAGGAAAACCGTTAAATTTCCGGGGGTACTAATATTAGACTTTTCCCCACAGAAACCAAGCTGCCAGTGCTATTCAAGTTTTTCTTCAGTCCTTGGCCATCAGGCTGGGATCAAAGTGTAGTATCTGTTCTCGCCAGCTTTAATGGTAATATTAGCCATTTCCCTACAAGGAAATATTTTGCATTCATTAACCAAACACCCAATACTAATTTCACTTGAAATTTATAAAATCTTTCTCTTAAAACAATTTTTCAGGAAAACACGTTTCTCAAGTCTAGAAGCTGCTATCACTCTTTCCAGTATTGATGGAAGTTTCTTTCCTAACGTTTTGTTTGGAGTAGTGTGGAATATCAACATCTTGGTGTTCTCATCGAGTTAAATGAGCTATCCACAGTTCTTTGTGATTGTGTAGCGCCAATCCACAATGTACAAAGAAGGATGACTTTTGACTAGACCCTCAGGCTTTACTCGCCTTTTTTTTCACTATTGATCACTGGAAGTGGTTGTATGCAGCTGAGAGTTTAGATATTTCTCACGGGCGGAATTTCGTAGTGATCGGATAATCAGAAAATCATCATATTGTCGCTTTTTGTTAAAAAGAAATTTGAGAAATTATGAAAATATTCATTCATAGAAAGGAAGACAATACAGAAAAAAGCATGAGAATATATCGACGGAAAAAGTAGCCCCAAAATATACGAAGTAAAAAAAAAAAAAAAAAAATACAAATATGCTGAATCTCACAGCTACATAATTGTTGTAGATCTCATGTAAGCAAACACGCACTCAATTGCTAAAACATGTCTCAAATTTCTGGGTACTTTTTTTCTTCTGTTTATTTTGTGCTTTTCCTTTCCTTTTTTTTTTTCTTCTCATCATTTTCCCATCCCATTTGTCTTAATTTTCAAGGAGTCTACTTTTCTTCCAAACTTAATAAAGACTCAGAAATCTCGAAAATTTATCTTTCTCGTCTATCTCATCATTTTCGCAGTTCCCATTCGTCACCTTCTTCTCCATTCATCATAATCTCTTTCTCAGCTCTCCTTCACCATGCCCTCCTCCTCCTTCTCTCATCTCCATCATGCTCTTACTTTGTTATCTCCCCTCATCATCCCACTCATTCACTTCTGCATTATCATCCACTTTTCCTTTTATTGTCTTAAATCTTTCTCATCTCCCCTTCATTATTTTCTCATGTCGGCTCCATCGTCTTTTTTTTCCTCATCTCTACATTGATTTTCTTATCTCCCATTGATTTTTTTCCTTTCTTCCTCATCTCCCCGCTGATATTGTCACTCCTCATATCCACTTGATTTTTTCTCTTTACCTTTCATTAGCTTCTCGCTTCCTTTTTTGTCTTCTCGCTCTCTCCGCTTCATTATCTTCTTTCTCGCATTCTCCCTTTCATTGTCTTCTCTCTGGCATTCTCCCCTTCATTGTCTTCTCTTGTCTTCTCTCTCGCATTCTCTCTTCTTCTGGCATTCTCCCCTTCATTGTCTTTCTCTGGCATTCTCCCCTTCATTGTCTTCTCTCTGGCATTCTCTCCTTCATTGTCTTCTCTCTGGCATTCTCCCTTCATTGTCTTCTCTGGCATTCTCCCTTCATTGTCTACTCTCTGGCATTCTCTCCTTCATTGTCTACTCTCTGCATTCTCCCCTTCATTGTCTTCTCTCTGGCATTCTCTCCTTGTCTTCTTCTCTTCTCTCTTCATTGTCATTCTCTGGCATTCTCCCCATCATTGTCTTCTCTCTGGCATTCTCTCCTTCATTGTCTTCTCTTGTTCTCTCCTTCATTGTCTTCTCTGGCATTCTCCCCTTCATTGTCTTCTCTCTGGCATTCTCCCCTTCATTGTCTTCTCTCTGGCATTCTCTCCTTCATTGTCTTCTCTCTGGCATTCTCTCCCATAAATGTCTACTCTGGCATTCTCTCCTTCATTGTCTTCTCTCTGCTTCATTGTTGTCTTCTCTCTGGCATTCTCCCCTTCATTGTCTTCTCTCTGGCATTCTCCCTTCATTGTCTTCATTGTCTTTCATTGTCTCTCTCTGGCATTCTCTCCTTCATTGTCTTCTCTTCATTGTCATTCTCTGGCATTCTCTCCTTCATTGTCTTCTCTCTGGCATTCTCCCTTCATTGTCTTCTCTCTCATTCTCCCCTTCATTGTCTTGTTCTCCCCTTCATTGTCTTCTCTCTGGCATTCTCCCCTTCATTGTCTTCTCTCTGGCATTCTCACCTTCATTGTCTTCTCTCTGGCATTCTCTCCTTCATTGTCTTCTCTCTGGCATTCTCTCCTTCATTGTCTTCTCTCTGGCATTCTCTCCTTCATTGTCTTCTCTCTGGCATTCTCCCTTCTCTTGTCTTCTCTCTCCCTGGTCTTTCTCTGGCTTTCTCCTTCATTGTCTTCTCTCTGGCATTCTCTCCTTCATTGTCTTCTCTCTCGCATTCTCTCCTTCATTGTCTTCTCTCTCGCATTCTCTCCTTCATTGTCTTCTCTCTGGCTTGTCTTCTCTCTGGCATTCTCCTTCATTGTCTTCTCTCTGGCATTCTCTCCTTCATTGTCTTCTCTCTCGCATTCTCTCCTTCATTGTCTTCTCTCTGGCTTTCTCTCCTTCATTGTCTTCTCTCTGGCATTCTCTCCTTCATTGTCTACTCTCTGGCATTCTCTCCTTCATTGCCTAGTCTCTGGCATTCTCTCCTTCATTGTCTAGTCTCTGGCATTCTCTCCTTCATTGTCTACTCTCTGGCATTCTCTCCTTCATTGTCTTCTCTCTGGCATTCTCTCCTTCATTGTCTACTCTCTGGCATTCTCTCCTTCATTGTCTACTCTCTGGCATTCTCTCCTTCATTGTCTTCTCTGTCATTCTCTCCTTCATTGGCATTCTCTCCTTCATTGTCTACTCTCTGGCATTCTCTCCTTCATTGTCTTCTCTCTGGCATTCTCTCCTTCATTGTCTTCTCTCTGGCATTCTCCCCTTCATTGTCTTCTCTCTGGCATTCTCTCCTTCATTGTCTTCTCTCTGGCATTCTCCCCTTCATTGTCTTCTCTCTGGCATTCTCCCTTCATTGTCTTCTCTCTGGCATTCTCTCCCTTCATTGTCTTCTCTCTCGCATTGTCTTCTCTCTCATTCTCTCCTTCATTGTCTTCTCTCTGGCATTCTCCCCTTCATTGTCTTCTCTCTGGCATTCTCCCCTTCATTGTCTTCTCTCATTCTCCCCTTCATTGTCTTCTCTCTGGCATTCTCCCTTCATTGTCTTCTCTCTTCTCATTCATCTCTCTCTCATTCTCTCCTTCATTTCTCTCCTTCATTGTCTTCTCTCTGGCATTCTCTCCTTCATTGTCTTCTCTCTGGCATTCTCTCCTTCATTGTCTTCTCTCTGGCATTCTCTCCTTCATTGTCTTCTCTCTGGCTTTCTCTCCTTCATTGTCTTCTCTCTGGCATTCTCTCCTTCATTGTCTTCTCTCTCGCATTCTCTCCTTCATTGTCTTCTCTCTCGCATTCTCTCCTTCATTGTCTTCTCTCTCGCATTCTCCTTCATTGTCTTCTCTCTGGCATTCTCTCCTTTCATTGTCTTCTCTCTGGCATTCTCTCCTTCATTGTCTTCTCTCTGGCATTCTCTCCTTCATTGTCTTCTCTCTGGCTTCTCTCCTTCATTGTCTTCTCTCTGGCATTCTCTCCTTCATTGTCTTCTCTCTGGCATTCTCTCCTTCATTGTCTTCTCTCTGGCATTTCTCTCCTTCATTGTCTTCTCTGGCATTCTCTCCTTCATTGTCTAGTCTCTGGCATTCTCTCCTTCATTGTCTCTGGCATTCTCTCCTTCTTGTCTGGTCTCTCATTCTCTCCTTCATTGTCTACTCTCTGGCATTCTCTCCTTCATTGTCTTCTCTCTGGCATTCTCTCCTTCATTGTCTTCTTCTGGCATTCTCTCCTTCATTGTCTCTCTCTGTCATTCTCCCTTCATTGTCTTCATTCTCCTTCATTGTCATTCTCTCCTTCATTGTCTTCTCTCTGGCATTCTCCCTTCATTGTCTTCTTCTCTCTTCTCTCTGGCATTCTCCCCTTCATTGTCTTCTCTCTGGCATTCTCCCCTTCATTGTCTTCTCTCTGGCATTCTCCCCTTCATTGTCTTCTCTCTGGCATTCTCCCCTTCATTGTCTTCTCTCTGGCATTCTCTCCTTCATTGTCTTCTCTCTGGCATTCTCTCCTTCATTGTCTTCTCTCTCGCTCTCTTCCCATATATATATATATATCACTCTGTTTACTTTTCCCTGAGACTAAACCAATAGTTTAACTTGTTTTAGCATTTACAGAACATTGTTTTACAAATACATAGTTTTGCACTTGTTAACAAAAGGTGCCATTTAAAAAATGCTTATTTATTGAAGACTGACATTTTGATTCTAAAGATGGTTCTTTCTAGTTTCTAAGGAAACTCCATCGTTTTTTTTGTTTTTTTTTGTTTTTTTTTTTGTTTTTTTTGTTTTTTTGCACAGACAAAAACAAAACCATTGCAAACTTATTTTCCCTTGTCAATGCTGACAATGAACGTAACAGCTCTAGAATTTTGTTGTTGCTCATGTTTAGTCCATAGCATTCTCAGTGTCCTTCTGTAGAACAATATAGCTTTTACTTCAAGTGTCTTTTTTGTTGGTGAAGGGATCGTCCAGTATTCCCTGCCATATCGGGGGACTGATATCTCAACATTTCAGTACTATTTTCTTTTTTTTCTTTTTTCTAACGATAATTTTCTGTTTCTTAATACTATGCTCAGCTTTTGAAAGACATCTTTCGCTATACTAATGCGCCATCGGATTTCAGTGTCGAACTTTGCGTCCTCAGTTAATACGCTTCCTAAATAAAGAAAGCAAACAGGTCCAACAATTTAGCTATCTCCAATTTGTAATTTTGAATGTTGGGCTGTTCCTTTTGCTAACAACCATGCATTCTGTTTTTTTGGGTTTTTTGGGTTTTTTTTTTTTTTTTTTTTGTTGTTTTTTTTTTGCAATTGGTGTTTAATTCTTTCTTCTCGCCTTCCTTCATTGCCTTCTGGTTCTTGTACCTTACTTTCCATGTCTGCTATTAACTCATGCTAACTCCAATGGTTATAGCAAGTTTCGGCTGTTTTTTTTTTGTTTCGTTTTTTTTTTTTTTTTTTTCTCATACTTATTTGTTTACTTGTACTTCCTTACCATTTGTTCTTGTGCCATACTGAGCCTTGCTAAGTAAATATCTATTTAACCCACCGTGGCAATAAAAAACCCAACTCAGAAAAATATGTAACTGGTTATTTTTCTTTCGATATCCCAAAGCTTTCTTTTATAACCTTCTTACCTACGTCGGCCCATCAATCATATTATTAACGTTCCCCGAATGAGATACATTATTTTCCGAGTCCAATCTGAATGACAAGTGAATAAGAAGGCTAATGCAAGAAAAAGTTGATCATCAAATATATTCTTGTATCCCTCTGTGTGCGAAAGATAAATCACGTGGTTTTTGTGTATGTGTGTGTGTGTTTTATTGATGTTTTCCATTTATACATATTTGAAATGTTTGCGAATTCTCGTGAGATGTATTGGCCAGAATGTATTTGTTTGCTTCGGTATTCAGTGATATTTAAATTTCAAAGTAGACATTTCTTTTTTTTTTTGTTTGTTTATCTTTTTTGCCCCATGGTTTTCTGTTGAAATAAATGTCAGTTGCCTTCATAGGTTATTGCATTATTATATCTCCCTTTTATGCAATAGTGGAAACAGTACGTATTCTCTCTTGTTTGATTATCTGTATGGAGAGCAAGTTAGAAGAATATCCTTGGTCGAGGTAATGGAAGAGGAAGGCAAAGGATACAGAATAGATGGCCGGGTGGCGATTATATGTGGAGATATCAGACAGTATGCAGACGATAGGAAAGTACGTAATCGGGAGTCCACATAGAAATCGGGGCTTATGTATAGAGAGATATTTAATGATAAGATTATTAGCGACAGAAGAAACAATATTGTGTTGGAACAATCGTAGCGTTCCTGAAGTGAATTTCAAGACAATATCTAGATAGTTATTCTTACATAGATTTTGACAATACTATTAGGTGAATGAATGGGGGGGAAAAAAAACTTCTGCTACACCGGTTTGTCCTCTGGAAGGATTTCCTCGGATTAAAGTAATCTTTTTCGTTGATGGAATTATATATGTTTAGGAGAGGGAGTTGGTTACAATTATGTACCGCTAGAAAAAGCTATTTTTTTAATTTATTTTATTTTTTTAGACGTGTATGGGCATGTAGTGTCTCCATTTAGTTTCTTTACGGTCTTGCTTTAGCTATCAATTTTATTATGAAGTATTCAACGGGAAAGGTGAAATGTTGTAAGAACCTGGATGCAAATCTACAGTGGATGATCTAGCAAACATAGCACTTTCTATACACTTTCGCCTAAGTAAATTGCTCTTTTAATTAAAACGGCGTTTTTAATTCGAAATTATGGTTAAACTCACTATAGTAAGTGACGAGGATGTTTTTTTCTCACCTTATCATTTATTTGCTTAACATTGTTCTGATATATAGAAATTTAGCTTAAAAACCGTAACTAAAACCCTAGAGTCTAAGTTTGATGGAACCTAAACTTGGATGCTGAGAGCTATTTTTAACATCTCTTGGAGACAATCCAACTAAATTACAGCTCTACGGACCCATCACTGATATTTCTACAATCTTACGTGAACGCAGAATTCACTTTTCAGGACATTGGCGAGCAAAATAAGAACTTGATCTACTGCTCTGGATACCAAGCAACGAAGCAAGACGGATTAGTCGCCCAGCAACTGCCTACATTGACCATCTATTAGGTTGGTGCAAAAATAATGACGTAAGAATGTCGTTTTTTGACGTAGAAAAGTACGTCAAAAAACGACATTATTACGTCATTATTTTTGCACGAACCTAATATATTATGACAGAGAATGCCTCACTTATGTTCTTCTGGCCTTGATGGCATCTTTTTGGTTGATGAACTCGTCTACGGGATTCCTTTTACAGGCTTCCAAATATTGAAATTCTTCTAATTAAGTCAGTTTCGTAGGGAACGAAATAAATTGTAACCCCGGGTGCACAAGCAGGTGAGTACAGTGGGTGTGGCAGGACTTCCCAGCGAAGTGCAAGCAACAGATCAGGTCGAATATTAACTCATTGATTTCGCTTTCTCACATTCTTGGGAAAGATGGCAAAGTGTCCGACCACGTTGAATTCGGAGTATTCGTTTTCCTACCACCCAGGACTAGGGAGTCTCGTTTACCCTGATGTTTAACTAAGGTAAGGCGAGAAGAATCCCTTTACGGTGGACTGGCAATAGATATTTTATATGTTGAGAACATTTCTTAAGTGATATGTGTTAATCTAGTCTGAAGGTAGACTGTCTGAGGATCTCAGATCTGATCTAAGTTTGTCCTAACTCAAACTATTTGTCAAGTTATGATAGTTTGAAGTTAATCGAAAGCTTCATATGTTTAATCATTTGCTTTAAATGGTCAATTCTGGATAGTTGCTTTTTCTGCCTCTTTTTTTTTATTACTAAGAGGAGGCACAGTGGAGTAGTGGATAGCGGCTCGGATTAGGAAATCGGAGAGCCGAGTTCGAATTCCAGTCGAATCCATTACATTCACTTGGGAAATGTATGAATTCTCTTCTTCTACCCACAGCTATGGGTAAAATAGCAGGACAGACAGGTTCCTTGTAGACCAGTTGCCTTGGATGGCAACTGTTCTACCGCAGAAAGAAAAGGCAAACTACTGTGGAAAGAAAGGCGTTGGAATCTTTTTGAATGTTTTAAGAGCCAGAGAGGTTTAAGTTGATACTCTTTTTTTCAAAAATGAACTTTATCAAGTGAATTTTGGGAGTCTACAACACAAAATTCAGTCAAATTAACACATATTTTTTGCCTGTTTAATATTTTTTTGTTTCTGCCAAAGACCCCCCCCCAAAAAAAAAAATATATCGAATAGCGCTAACAAAATGGCTGAGGCAATTTAAATCAGCAGATTGTAAAAAAAAAAAGAAAAAAAGTTCTCTATTTAAAACATACTAGGTTCCTTTCATACGTTAAATTGATCGTTATACGCTGTTGGCACTATACACCGGAAACCAAATATCAATTTTCGAAAAAAAAAACCCCTCTAGACATCTATTCCTATGTATTCAGCGCCCCGAGAAGGGTGCTGATTCTGTAATTTTGGCAGTGAAAATCTTCCCGAAAGAAGTTTAAATGCTTTAAATGCAAAATTTAATCTCTTTTCAAGAATTTCGGCTCCTCATTACAAATAAGGTTATCTAGACAGAAAATCCCGATTAAAAATGTGAAATGTTTTGTTACAGCATTCCTCTTAAGTGCAAACGACATTAATACAATTCCAGAATAGAGATGAAAATCATACAGGGGGTCTTAAAAGCCACAAATATCCACTTGGCTCTGTTGTGCAACCAGTAAGAATATTGAACGTAGAATAGGCTGCGCTAGGAGGAATTTTGCACAATACTACAAGACCAAAACATTAACTAAACAGCCAGCCTTAAAAAGCCGGGTTAGATCGAGACTGTCCTATGGATGTCATGCATGGCACCAAATTCGTTCAAAAATATCTAAACTGTCAGCTTTACACAGCGGCTTTCTCAGATCACTGATTAAAAACGGCTTCGAGAGAATTAAGCCTGTAGGTTTTATCGAGGGTCACGATTATTCGAAACGCGTAGACTGGCGCTACATAATCACAAAGAAAGAACTTCGCCCAACCAACGTCACTTGAGAATTTGCGCTTATAACGAAATAATCAAGTTGTAGATCAGATATTGTTGTTATTTAAACCTTTGTTTTTGGTAATACCTACGTGTAACTCTCCTATCGCCCGATAACTCCGTACGGTTAGTTGGCTCCGCCATAGCAGAATTTCAATATCTGTAACAAATAAAACAATAAATGTGACATCACAAGAGAAAATGACGTCATAGGATTTTGACGTTCTACACTACCACAAGCAGAAAGTTAGGAAGGAAACCTCCGTCAATGCTGAACTTGGAAACTTGTTTGCCTGAAAATTTATGTAATAGCCACATTATAAATTTCAACAGAAAAATCTTACTGGTTTCTCGATCCATGAATGCCGAATTTCTGCTCATACGGAAACTGGTAATATTACCATTAGTAGCGAGGGCAACAGATACTAAATTTTGATCTCGGCCCAATGATCAGCGAGTGAAGAAAAGCCTTAACTCAAGAAATACTGCTTGCTTATTCAATGAATGCTGAATTTCTCCTCATAAGGAAACAGCTAATACTAACATTTTTATTAGAACTTAGGGGGACAGATACTACACTTTAATCCCAGCTCGATGGCCAAGGAGTAAGAAAAGCGTAACACGAGCATCACTGCTTACTCGGTCAAAGAATATCGAATGTTACCTTATAAGGAATCAGTTAATATTACACTTATCGTATTTTATTTATTTATTTTTTTGTTGCTGTTGTTGTTTTCGGCACTTCCAAAGCCATTAATCTTGGTTTGATATCTATTTTTGCTATTTCTGATTCACCATTAATTTTTATGTTGCACAATAAGAAATCTGTAACATTCCTGTTTTGTGATTACAGGATAGATTTTTCTCAATATGTTTTCCCGTTGTCAAGACATTTTCTGAACTTCCAGGATTCAAAGCAGAAAGAAAAAATTGAATTTCAAGATATAAAGGCAAAACCATGGATTTCGTATCTAATGAAGGATTATGTTAAATCTTTTTTTTTTTTTTTTGAATTTTTTCAACAACTTCTAAGAATATTGACGTGCTTGAAAATTTCATTAAATTATCTAAAATCACTGCATTTACGTAAAATTTAAGCTATTTATTTTCGCTTTGAATGCTGTCAGAAACGATTCATTACGAATCCTACAAACGAGCCTATAGAAACTTGTTTATTGGCGAAAACAGTTTTGAATGAAAGATAGCATTTGAAGCGTCCTTTAAAAATGAAGTTCATTTGAAGTGGCTTTCTTTCTGAATGATTTACCTTTATTTTTCTAAATCTTCTCTAATTGGATGAAGTAGCGGCTTTTAACAAACAAGAGAGTAAATGTTATCATTTCGCTATTTATTTCTACGCATGAATAACCCGAGGAAAATATAAGGCTGATCAGGGGAGATAACTTAGAAACATATCTTTCTGTGAGTCTCTATTTGATTCCTTTAATTTGTCTTGTCAGAAAAGTGTCATATGAAATCCGGGGTCTTCACACTGAAATGCACGTCACTTGATCTTGATTGACGCACTTTCAACACAAAACAGCTGAAAGATCGATTCCCCCTTCTCTTCTCTTCGTTTTCTGCTCGCGTTTTCTTCTCCCCTTTTTCTTCGTTGTCATCTTCTCCCCTTTTTCTTCGTTGTCATCTTCTCCCCTTTTTCTTCGTTGTCATCTTCTCCCCTTTTTCTTCTTTGTCATCTTCCTCTCTACTTCACACCCATTTCTTTTTTCTTTTTTCTTCAGCCTTTTTTTCTTTTTCATCTTCTCCCCTTTTCTTCTTCACCCTCTTCTTTACTTTTTCTTTTTCTTTTCACCCTTTTTCTTCGCCCCTTCTTTTTAATCTTCTCCCCTTTTTCTTTTCTTTTTTATTCATCCCGTTTCCTCTCTTTCTGCTTCTCCCCTTTTCCTCTCTTTCTGCTTCTCCCCCTTTTCCTCTCTTTCTGCTTCTCCCCCTTTTCCTCTCTTTCTGCTTCTCCCCCTCTCTTTCTGCTTCTCCCCCTTTCCTCTCTTTTTGCTTCTCCCCCTTTTCCTCTCTTTCTTCTTCTCCTCTTTTTCCTCTCTTTCTTCTTCTCTTTTCCTCTCTTTCTTCTCCCCTTTTCCTCTCTTTCTTCTTCTCCCCTTTTTCCTCTCTTTCTTCTTCTCCCCTTTTTCCTCTCTTTCTTCTTCTCCCCTTTTTCCTCTCTTTCTTCTTCTCCCCTTTTCCTCTCTTTCTGTTTCTCCCTTTTCCTCTCTTTCTGTTTCTCCCCTTCCTCTCTTTTGTTTCTCCTCCTCTAATTCCTCCTCTTTTCCTCTCTTTTTGCCTCCCCCCCTTTCCTCTCTTTTTGCTTCTCTCCTTTTCCTCTTTCTTTCTCCCCCTTTTCCTCTCTTTCTTCTTCTCCTCTTTTTCCTCTCTTTCTTCTTCTCCCCTTTTTCCTCTCTTTCTTCTTCTCCCCTTTTTCCTCTTTCTGTTTCTCCCCTTTTTCCTCTCTTTCTGTTTCTCCCCCTTCTCTTTTTGCTTCTCCCTCTAATTCCTCTCTTTTTGCTTCTCCCTCTAATTCCTCTCTTTTTGCTTCTCCCTCTAATTCCTCTCTTTTTGCTTCTCTCCCTTTTCCTCTCTTTCTGCTTCTCCCCCTTTTCCTCTCTTTCTGCTTCTCCCCCTTTTCCTCTCTTTCTGCTCTTTATCCTTCTCCAACTTTCTCTGTTTTCTTCTCTTTATTTTCTCCTTTGCCCTTCTTTCTTTTTTATCTTCTTCTCCCATCTTTCGTCTTTTCTTCTTTTTCCACCTCTCTTCGCCCCACTTTTCTCTCTCTTCCCCAATTTCATCATTCCTCTAGTTTCCGTCCTTCATTTCACCCGCTTCCTACTTTTCAATTTCTTTTCGGGATGTATTGGCGATTTCTGTCAAATATTTGCCTTTCTCAATCTATTGGCAATGACATAAAACAAGAGGAAAGTTTTTAGAATCTCGGTATTCTGGCTGGGAAGTGGGTTTACTGCTTGTTCCTGGATCTTCAGGGTTGGGTTGGGGCCGTGGACACTAAGTCAACGCGCAGAGGAAGCGAGTTATCCTTCCGATAACCTTAAACTCTTAAACGTATTTTCCCACTCTTTAAACTTTCGTATCCTCTTGTTATCTCTCTCTCAACACGTTTTCTTTACTGTCTTGGTCTGTCCAAACATTTTTTTCTATCTTAAAGACCCCTGTCCATCACTGTTCGAAATTGGAAATCTTACGTACATAATAAACTAAAGGAACACACATTTGTCGTCGCTTTGTAAATCAGTCGAGTCGAGAGAGACAAAACAATGTTTTGTTTTTTTTGTTTTTTTTTTAAAGAAATGTTTGGTGTCAGAGAATACCCAGTCCAGTATTGTCCTTGGTAATGTTTTCCCCCTGTTAACACAATCATGACAATTCAGAAAATGTCGATCTTTTCGGCTTTTTGTTCTTCATTTTCAAACAACTTTGAAATATCTTTCTTACATTTTCCCCCCTTATTTGGTCTCAGGTCAATCATTCTCTGCGAAATCTTAGTGTCTTTTAAATTATTTTCCTGTATCTGATACTTTCTGTTGTTATTATAGCATGCTTATCTTGCAAGCTGCTGACAGATATTCTATAATTATATTTGTGTCATTGTTGAAAAGTAAGAAGTTTGAAATTTTTGTAGGAAGAAAAATGATTGAAATATCTCAACATTTCTCTCCTTCTATGAAATCTCACTCCTCTCTCACCCTTTTTAACCCTCTTTTGATTTTTTTTTATCCCCCCCCGCTTTCTATTTCCACTTTTCTCGCTCCCTCTTTTTATTTCCACTATTCTCTCTTGCCCACTTCCCATTATCTTTCTTCGGCTTACTCTTTCCATCTCTCTCCTTCATCCACTCCCTCTGTCTCTAGCCGCTTTCTCCCTCCCCCCCTCTCTCTCTCTCTCTCTCTAGCCGCTTTTTTCTCTCTCTCTAGCCGCTTTTTTCTCTCTCTCTCTCTAGCCGCTTTTTCTCTCTCTCTAGCCGCTTTCTCTCTCTCTCTCTAGCCGCTCTCTGTCTAGCCGCTTTCTTTCTCTCTCTCTCTCTCTAGCCGCTCTCTGTCTAGCCGCTTTCTTTCTCTCTCTCTCTCTCTCTCTCTCTAGCCGCTCTCTGTCTAGCCGCTTTCTTTCTCTCTCTCTCTCTCTAGCCGCTCTCTGTCTAGCCGCTTTCTTTCTCTCTCTCTCTCTCTCTAGCCACTCTCTGTCTAGCCCTTTCTTTCTCTCTCTCTCTCTCTGTCCGCTCTCTGTCTAGCCTTTCTTTCTCTCTCTCTCTCTCCGCTGTCTCTCTCTGTCTCTCTAGCCTTTCTCTCTCTCTCTCTCTCTAGCCTCTAGCTTTCTCTCTCTCTCTCTTTCTCCTCTTTCTCTCTCTCTCTCTAGCCCGCTTTCTCTCTCTCTCTCTCTCCTGCCGCTTTCTCTCTCTCTCTCTCTCTCTAGCCGCTTTCTCTCTCTCTCTCTAGCCGCTTTCTCTCTCTCTCTCTCTAGCCGCTTTCTCTCTCTCTCTCTCTCTAGCCGCTTTCTCTCTCTCTCTCTCTCTCTAGCTCTCTCTCTCTCTCTCTCTAGCCGCTTTCTCCCTCTCTCTCTCTCTAGCCGCTTTCTCTCTCCTCTGTCTTGCCGCTCTCTTTTTTTTTTCTCTCTCTCACTCTCTTCTTTTCTCTCTCCTGATGTCAACATTCCCCAAGCAAGGTGTCACATCTTATCAGCACTGAGTTCTTTCTTAATTATTAGCTGAATTTATTTATTCAACTGAAAGTTGATGAAACAGCTCTATCCTCCGACCGAACCAATAGCGGGAGATTCTTTCCAGAACTGGTATCTTTCTCACGAGAACAGTTAATTAAATTCATTTTGAAGGGCGTTACTGAGTGTTAGTTTGTTTGGTCCCTAGTAGTGAGTTAGATCTTCACTGGGTGCCACATACAGCTAACCCTGGTATATAACAGCTTATTAATTTCCCTTTTATTTACTTATTTCTTAAGTAAGTTAGAATGATATGAAATCGGGCAAGGTTATCTACATTCTTCCAGAAACAAGGTTTGCTCAGCATAGTTGCAATATAAATCGTGGGTGGTCTCTGTGGACGTTGGACAAACACAAATATGCCTGAGCGGGCATCTGCAGCAGGGATTGATTACATTTCACGGTGAACTTTTACATCACATTTTATATTTAAATGTTAAATTCTGTTGGTTGTCTTAACTCGGTTTTTATTTTCATTTTCATTTTTATTTTTTAGAAGTGAAGGTGTTTCTTTTATGTATTTGCTAATCAGGTTTGAGCAAGTTGTATTTCAAATACAGGATGATTCCCTATTTTATGTATGATGGACGCCCCCGTCTTGTAAAAATCATAGTTAGACGGGAGAGTCCATCATACATAAAATAGGGATGTCAGTTATAAGTTATCTCCTGTTAATTCCCCTCTCCAAGTTTTCCACTGGCTCACCGGGTGTTGAACTCACATTCTTGTCAGTGGATCTAACTAACGCCTTTATCCAATGTGCCATAATACCTCATCTCAGATATATAGACAGACAAAAATCCTCATCACAATTTACGCCAATGAAACCTGATCCACAAACAGATTTCTTGCAAAGAATATACATTCTATTCATATGAACCTATCCTAAAAATCTTGTCGGTATTAAGTAACCCATTGAGGTTGATATGTCGCAAAACCAAATAAAACCAATAAAATAGTGTGTTACTTTTCAAAGCCTCTGCATATGCCTCGAATATCGCGAAACAAGAAAAACTAATTCCCCGTAGTAGATACATTGAGACTTCCAAAGCCGTCCCGAATTTAGAAATATTTTTTTTTTTTTGTGGAAGGAGGGGTTTCATAATAAATCCTTTACTTTGTCTTTATCAAGAGCAGAAAAACAACGTTAACCGATGTCAGTTTTCCTAAACTGAACTCTTTCGTCTAACTTCTTAAATTTCCCGACGGTTTCTTTTTCTATATGCGGCGTCTCTTCAGGACAGGCGATTATAACTCTCCACAACTTCCTATCTCGTGTGGCTCTTAGCAGTTTTTTCTCCCTTTGCTAAGGTCCCCGCCTCCTGTTCCTCCGTCCATTCGCATAAGAAGGTGGCTCGCTGGCTTCCCTTGTTTCTCTTTACCTCAGTATATACCGTGAAGGTTAAGGGTTAAGCTATTTTCTAAGCCCTCCTTCCTCATTATGTGTCCAAAGAATTTCAACCGTCTTTGTTTGGTTTTGAGTATGTGTTCTTTCTGATTGCCCGAGCAATAGGTAACTAAGTAAATTTCATATACACTTTTATGATTTCTTTAGCATTGGAAAGCCAGCATTACCTCAAGAACTACTATCCTCTTGCCTTGTCTGAATTCTTCACCCAGTAACTTGAAATTTCTTAGCTAGGCCAGGTTTATCAGTTGCCATGCTTTTTTTCCACCCACTGATTTCAATTTTGCCTTTAGGTTTTACCTTTTTGATATGCGTGTATAACTTAAAGCTATACCTTTCTTTGTGTGTAACTTGAAAGATGTGTAAAGAAAGAAAGAAAAGATCAGTGAAGAGAGAAGAGGGACAGAAAAGAAATGCCTCTTGTTTTATGAGGCATGGAACAGTAATATTCACCTATAAAGCAAAATATACTTTCTTTACAATCCTCCTTTCAATACACCTTTTAATCTATGAATATATTTGAGCATGGTTGATTTTGAACAAGTTCAAGAAAATGAGTTTTAATACATTAAAAGTAGCCAGGAAAGTGGTGTTGGTTCGAGTTGTGAGGTTGTGTAACGTTTATCGGCACAAGCAGCAGTCAATTCGAAAAACAGACATCGGTTAACGTTGTTTTTCTACTCTTGATAAAGACAAAGTAAAGGATTTATTATGAGAAAACCCCCACCAAAAAAAAAAATTCTAAATTCGGGATCGCTTTGAAAGTCTTAATGTACCTACTACGGGAAAATTCTCTTTCGAGGCCGCGTGTGTTCACTTAACACGCATATCCGTTTTTTATTGTGAAGTTCGCCATATACAATATCCAAGAGCCACTCAGACTAGAGGGTTACTGAATGGGATTTGCGATATGAGCGTAAGAGGGAATAGCCTGAAGTGAACATTATGGAGAATAGTCAACTGTTGACCCCTGACTTGAAAAGATTGGAATTGTAGCGTTCCGGGAAGGATCCACACGGTTGTTTGTTTCTCTTTCTCAGGAAAAAAGCTGTCTGAAAGGAACTTTCTTTTTACAAATGGAACGCGAAGAATACATGACTCGATTCCGAGGACGTTGTATGGAGATTCTTAGCTATAAATTTATTTGTTGATGGAACAAACGATTGGAACGCAACCGAAATTTTGCCATGGAAATAATCATGGACTGGAGACACGCTTGCAAAGTTGCGACTAAGGGAAAGAGGCTGTAGAGCAGAAAATACGCCATCTTCAACCTGACATCGTAAACGACTATGAACTCTCTCAAGACTAGAAATTTAGGATTTAGTAACTCCAGCAAAAACATGGCAGCAATGATCAATTTTCATGTAATCTGACTCTGGTAAAGATATATTTTCTGTAGCTGTACAAGGTAACGAGTATATTTCCACCATCTTTAGTGTATACTAGACCACCCGTGATCCGTTGAGTTAACCTTGTGTTACTACTTACATTTAGTTTCCTGAAGAGTTTATGAAAGTAAGAGATATTTTAAAAATACATTTATTTGCAGTTATTGAAGTTGCTTTCGACATTAAAAAACTGTTTGTTTAAAGAAAGTTGAAATATAAATAAGCACGCACGCAATCACGGGAAGGTAGAGAGGTGGGTGGGAGGAGAGAGCGTTTTTTTTTCTCCATGTCTTTCATGTCGCTTCCTACACGATAATAAATTCACATCTTTCTTTCACCCACTCTCTATATTTGACTTCTGGCAAACACACAAGCGACGTTCACAGACTTTTATAGTAATAAAGATATGTTCCACATGAGGTATGGCACGTACTTGAGTCCTAAAGGTCGTTTAAAACAGGGAGCCTGTTTAAGAGTTCGACCATTCACTGTGACGGAAGAAGGCTCTGCGTCAGATCAGTGATTTTGAAAAATTATTAGCTTTGCTTTTTGGAAAACATGAAATCAGTTTTCCCTGCGGGGTGACCTAACGATTATCAGTAAGGAAAGCAGAGATTCATTATTTTTCATTCATAATGATTCCATACTTTCGGTGACAACGAAGTCCTAAAAACTAGAAAACAGCAATACTGTTTTTTGTTTGTTGATTTTTTTTTATTTATTGATGTTCATCCAATACAGTACCCAAGAGCCACCCAAAGTAGAAGGTTACGGTATTGTATGACCGTAAGAAAGGGCAAGAAGTGATGTTCATGGTGCTATACATTAAAGATAATGGTTAACTTTAGACTTAAAGAGGTAAACATTGCTGTGATCAGGGAAAACGAGAGAATGAACAGACTGGAAGCCCAATCTTAAACAGAGAAGAGGGAATAAACCTATACTCCTATTCAAAAGATCGGAGAGGAGTGTGAACCGGACGAGAGGCAAACCTATCTACTCCTATTGAGAAAATAATTAGTTGATAAAATTTCAGTTTAAGCATAGACGTTAGACTTTTAAATAAAAAACCTTAAACATTTCATAACTTCGACATCTCTCTATATTTCTGAGATGATGCATTCCAACAAATATTACTTGAAGAAGACCGGAGTTTACAATGAATAAAACGTCGGCAATATGGCAATAAAGATGAGAATAATGGGCCGAATTATGTAAAAAGGGCTAATACAGAAACCTAAACAAAAACAGAAATAACAAAAACTGTAATATGAGCTCTGTTAAAAAAAAATGTTGATAAATGCGTTGGTTGAGTGATCTAAAAGTAACTTGGTCCAAAAGACTTGTGAATTTAATACGTGGCCACACCAAATGTAACAAAAACTTGGAGAGTTATCAAGGAAAATTAACTCGAAATGTTTACATTATTTACATTGTTCAAGGACACATGGCCCAGTGGATAAAAGCGTTGGTTTAATCGAGAGACTTTACCCACGGAGTTGTAGGTTCAGTACCCGGCTGCGGCAGTGATGAACAAAAACTTGGACAAACTTGAGTCAAAGGGAGATGACAGAAACATCCGGAAGAGGCTGAAACGGTCTACCCCGGTGGAGGAAGTAAGGGGATCAGTTCGAAATTCTAATCACCTGAAGAAGGCCGGAGTGTACAGCGTTCGAAATGTCGTGAATATGACAAAGATGAGGACAACAATCATAACAATGCAAATAATTACAATGTCCCATCTCATAAATATAGGGAGGTAACAGAAACTGTGATATTCAAAGGCATGTCATGTGGAATTAGAACAATCTATCCATGTGGACTAAAAAAAAGTGTCCGGTTCGAAATTCCAACAAATATCACATGAAGAAGGCCAGGGAGTACAATGGCCGAAACGTCGTGAATATGGCAATAAAGATGAGGAAAACAGTCCGAACAATATAAACAGGGAAAATTATTTCAGAACTTGTTCAGAAAGAAGAGGGACAAATCATAAAAGACATTTTTTTCATTATTTGATTAAATGCCTTAACTTTTGAAAAAGACAAATCTGATTCGTATTCAAAGATATGAAATTATAGATTTTTTATTGATTTGCTTACTTGTAAATGTTTAATGCCGTAATTTAAAAAAAAAAAAAAATTTTT